AGATTCACAGGAGATGAAAACCTTATTATCTTCCCCTATTATGAATGGAAAAGATGTGGATATATAGATTTGGGAGTCATCTACATAATGGAGATAATTGAAATCATGGAAACTGGGATCATAGAGAGAAAGGATGTAAAGAAAGAGAAGTGGTAATACCTATTGAGTATACTCAGGAGTAGGTTGAGAGAAAGAAATCCATTGGGTCATTTCTTATTGTTGTAAACTAAATTGGTGTAATGCACATGATATTGTCATGTTCTTGGAAACTGAATAAATAGCCTGCAATCGCACCATAGGATCACCTCAGCCTGGACAGTCAGTCCTTAACAATGTAGGGTATTGTCCTAGTGAAAAATGTTCCAAGTACATTTTACTACTACATATCCCATAGTTCAAGCATACTGAGTCCCAAGGTGAATGAGTGGCAGAAATCACCTATATTCTTGCCTTGCGTACTTTACCTAATTATCTTTTAATATAGTGTGATCTTCCTTGGCTTAAACCCAGAAATCTGTAGAGTTATTGGCTGCAAAAAATACACGTGGGTGAGACCAAATCTATCAAGAAAATAATGTGTAATAGAAAATAATGGTGCATAAGGTGAGAAAGTTTTGTCCATCACTATCGTCATAAAGAGTTACATGTGATTAATTTTATCTATACTTAAAGTTATGTATTAATAAAATGTTAGCATAGTATGTAGAGTTCTTTGTGTTCACAGGATAACTATTTCCATATAACATTATAAAAATGATTTGCTCTTACTCTACCTCATAATGTAACTGGGATGCTCAATTAAATACTATCTACATCAAATACAGAGCTTGTCATTCTGTATTAAGCACAAACTGAGTAGCCATTCACATTCCCCATGTATCATATGCTTTTATATTGGCCAACCAATGTGATTAATTATGCCAATGATTTTTTTTAATGCCCTGTCAGGTTTGACAGCATAAACCTATGTAGCTTTTTAGGATTAATTTCTATTGATTTCTCCATATATATATATATACATATGTATTCAGTCCTCTTAAAATGGTTGTATTTTCCCTAGGAGACAGTTTTAGTGTTCTATACCACAAAATCCTATGAGAGACTTGATGCCCAGAGCAGCAACAGAACATTTATGTCTCATTATTCTTTGCTTTCAGATCAGTGCTTCATTGTCTTTCAACAATGTTCCCGAAGGATACAAAAATATCCTTTGGTAGGGAGAACTAGGGATTAACCATTAATTGCACTGAACTTAAGATTTAATTGTGTCTACATAATAACACCTGCTCTGCCTACCATTTAGAGCTAGTATGATCATCAAATAAAATAGCTAGATGAGAAAGTGCTTTGAAATGTATGAATACTTATTATGGAGTCAAAAACTCGTACTTGTTACTTCTTAATATTTCTAATTTGTAGATGCCTGCCTGCAAGTAGGGGGCAGCTAGGTGGCTCAGTGGGTAGAGCCCTGGACCTGGAGTCAGGAAGACTTGAGTTCAGATATGGCCTCAGGTATTTCCCTAGCAAGTGACCCTGGACAAGTCACCTAACCTTATTTGTCTCAGTTTCCTCATCTATAAATGAGCTGGAAAAGGAAATGGCAAACCATTCCAGTGTCTTTGCCAAGAAAACCCCAAATGAGGTTATGAAGAGTCAGAAATGACTGAAGCAACTGAACAACAATAACAATCTGCAAGTAACAGTGGGCTTTAGTTGTTCATTTATCGGCATGTTTGAAGAGTTGGCTCATGGTTTAAAGAGTAACAGACTGGACTAGTAATCCTAGCCTCTGGGACAAGAAACACAAAATGAGCCCTGGGGATAGATGCCAGGATAGCAAGTCTGCCGCTTAGGATCTTGCCACCTGCTACCTTCCTTTTTTAACTAATGATTCTTGCTAACTAGGTGTTAAACTCAATAATTTCTACCTGCTGGTTTCCAAGTACCGTAAGAGTCAAATAAAATTTGGCTCCCTGGGCAAAATCTCTGGTTATCCTATCCTAGTTCCATCTTGGTGATAGGTTTGTGTCATGAATGCAGCTGCTGTTTTTGTACTGACACAGCTGAGGAGGAAGTCCTTTGCAGGTTCATTGCTTAGAGGAGCCAGCATTCTAGCAACTCCATATGATGATCCAAGTTTTTTTTCTATAAAGTCTGTACTTCCTGAAGAGCTATTTCAAGAAGAACTCTTGTATCTAGGTGTATGTTCTTTTTAATGGTCAGAAAGTGATGAGAAACACTAAAGGCAATGGTATCTTCTTCATCCAGAAGGCAAATATAACACACCATCTTTGTTACTGAAGTGGAGGCCATGTGAAATTCTACAAGTTGTCCTTTCCCAGAAGCTTGCTTCCAATTTTAAATGCCTTTTCTAAGCATAGGGATCATTGGCAGCCTTTACAATCTTTCTGGCTGCCTTTCACTCTATAAAAGCCTGTTATGCTCCATGGGCATTTCAAATTAGAAACAAAGCTTTTAAGCCTTCAAAACACAGCTGCTGGGACTCTCACCTTAAAGAATGGAGTAAAAATGGTGAGTATAATATAGCAAGTCCCATTGGATGCCTTATGTGTATGACTTTTTCTTGTAGAATTCTTCACGGTGACTTGAAAAATAATTTTATTGTAGGTTTGTGTGTTTGGGGCTATTTCAGCAGTGCAAGCATTAAGTCATTTATTTTTATGATGTACATGAAACATCTTAAGATAGTTTCATGTGGCCTTGGAAATTAGTTGGGAGAAATGCAAACACTGCAGTCTGGTCTTTCTTTGACTTTCAGTAAACAAAGAAGCAACATTTCTTCTTCCCTTCAATACATTTATACAATTACACATTAACACTGCTGTATAAGCTTACACAGTGATGGATCAATGTGCCTCCAAGGATATTATGTGTTTCATGGTGGTGCGGGGGAAAAATGCTGGATCTGAAGACAGAACATGAGTATAAATCCTGATTCTGTTATTTATGAACTGTGTGAACTTGGGAAAGTTGCTTACTTTCTCCGAGCCTCAGTTTCCTCTTCTGTAAATGTTGAAGTAGATGACTTTTGATTTTACTCCCATCTATAAATCTATGATGCTATAATTATATATCATAAAATGAATTCAATAATTTCTTCCTGAAACCAACTTTTTGTTCTGATTACTATATTCTTTTTAATAACATCACTATCTTCTACCTAGACATCCTGGCTAAAAATGCCATTATGTTTCACTTATATGCATACCATTCTTTTTCCACTACCCTCACATTCAGAATCTCATTATGTTTCATGTATACCAATACAACAGCCTCCTTGACTCCCCATTGTGAACCTTGGCCCATTTTAATACATCCTATACATTTCTGTAAGGCTAGCAATGTCTGACTCTTCGTAACCTCATCTGAGGTTTTCTTGGCAAAGATACTGGAATGATTTGTCATTTCCCTCTCTAGCTCATTTTAAATATGAAGAAACTAAGGCAAACAAGGTTAAGTGACTTGCTAAGGGTCACTTGCTAGGGAAATGCCTGACATTAGATTTGAACTCAGATCTTCCTGACTCCAGGTCCAGCGCTCTACCCACTGAACCACCTACTTGCAGGCAGGCATCTACAGATTAGAGATATTAATAGAAGTGACAGGTATGAGACTTTTGACTCCATAATCCACAGTTCTGATTACATCACTCGCCTTACCTTCTTCTGTCTTCCCAAGAAAAGGTCCCTACTATGCACTTAACAATCATAAAAACCCTAAGAAATAATAGGCCTTTGGAGTTATTCTGGTTTAGTCCTTGCCTTCATGCAGGAGAATGTTTAAACTATAGAGGACACATGATTATTGCCCTTGCCTCCGTCTTGGAGAGGTCTCCGCAAAATAGGAGGTATAGGATGAAGGTTGAAGAATGGTATTGATACAACACATCATCCCCTTTAACATCCTCAAAGCTTTTTCACTTGTTGTTGGTTGCTAAGCATCTAGTCAAGACTAGTATTGACTTGCACAGACAGAGAAGAAGACATTTGGTACAAAGTGGTTCAGAAATTCATGAGCTTCCTACCATAGGCTGCTAAGCAGGATTGTGTGATGGAAAATAGAGGATTAAGAACCTGAAAGGAAATGATAGCATATTTACTCTGAAGATCTGAATCTTTAGTGCTGTGTTTTTCTTTGTTTCAAAGCACTGGACCAGACTGTGTGTTCTCAAAATCAGTTCTGAATCACAGTCTGTGATTAAAGAGTCAGTCTCCATGCCATGCATCAGTTAAATTTGTTGGGCTTTGCTAATTGTAAGCTTCAGTATTCATAAAAAAAAGAATAGAAAAAGACACTGAATCTGTAGTTTTTCTCAACCTCAAAACTGTCTGACAGAAGGGAAATACGATTTTAGAGAAAAACAAAAAACACTACAACCTAACTGTGATTGATGAATGGGTCTCTAACATTAGCAACACATTCTACAAAAATTACTTGGTTTCATGATCCTCATACGTAGAAATCATAGTTTTTTGGAAATATTACTAAATTACTAAAAATTACTAAATTTGACCTCTCTTTCTCCCTTACTGAAGCATAATGAATTACATGTCAGCCTCTCAGCTGAAACCATGGATAATGGGAAAAGTTTAGAAAAACAAGCTTGCAGTTTGCACTGTTCATAGTCCACTAATTCAGTCTATGCTTAAAGTATGTGTTGTTTGTTGTTGCTGCTGCTGCTGCTGTTTTCCTCATTATACTAGGGAAAACTCTCCTTTGAAATGGATCTGTTCCATTATTAGTTACTATATATATGCATATATGTATATATATATATATATATATATATATATATATATATATATATTTCAGAGGGCTTCTGTGGTGATTAAAATATATCCCATCCCATTGAGTATGAACATTTTCCTTCAATGTTCCCAACAGTGATTAATTTTTAAACTTTATTGCTTAAAGTCTAAAGTTCTACTTCATTCTAATGTTCTACTTTGATGCTCCATTATGCTGTGGACAGTCCCAGCTCTCAAGGAACTCACAGTCTAATGGTAAGGCAACTTGAAAATAACTTCGTACAAACAAGATATATACAGGGTAAAATCAACAGAGTAAAGGCACTAGCCTTAAAGAGAACCATGAAAGGCTTTCTTACAGAAGACAAAATTTTAGCTGGGTCCATTATGGAAGCTCATGAAGACCATCCACAGAGGAATTTGGATTGGTTTCTCTGATGAGAACGCTGATCCTTTAAGTAATAAAGTAGTAAGTATGAAAGACTTATTTGAATTTTCTGATGTGTTACTAAATTGTGAGAAATGGCCAAAGAAATAATATAAAATAGAATAAACATACCACAAGAGCCAAGTTTATTAGAAATACTAATACCATGAAGAAATAACATTTAGTTCTTTTCTTCTGTCTTTCCCTATGTGAATCAGCTCTCTGCCCCAACCTCACTTTCTAGATCTTGGCTTTTAGGAAGTTCTTATTTCTTTCTTGTAAAAAGAGTATTTCACTTTTTAAAAAAGTATACTGACTTTTCTTCAAAGGAACGCAGAAGTCTCTACATGTTTTTCTTGGTTATGAAACTAGTTCATGCTGGCTAAGTAATTGAGACAGATGGTCCCTGAAATAGTGCTCTGCACACATTGGAAGCTCAATAAATATTTGCTGATGATAATGATGAGATAAAGAAATCATAAAATCTTACATAGATAGCAAAGTCAGAAGAGTATTTCTCTCATCTGTTCAAGGGAGAAGACAGAGTTCAATTAATTATCTCTATTTTAGAGGACATTGGGGAGAACACACATAAAAATTTTAATATCGTAGAATGATATGACTAGTCTCACTTATTGAGATTCAGAACCTCAGTCTTCATGTAGAATCTTTCAAAACATTTGAGATGGCTTCCAGATTTGGGGCCCTAAATAATTCATGGTCTATTTAGTGTGTATTATATTTAATACTGGGAAGGACCTCAAAATGTAACAACTCAGTCTCTTCTCATAATACTTACTCTACTATTTTTAAACCTATCCATGCAGGGAAGACTGCTATTTATAAACTTCAAAGAATAGAAAAAAAATTTTAATGCTAAATCAGAAGTCAGATCTTAAAGAATTATATAATTTTAGGACTAGAAAGGAATTTGTAGATGATGATATGCAAAAGTTTCATTAACAGAAGAGAAACTGAACCCCAAAATATGTAAATAAATGATACTCTCATAGCCATACAGTTAGGGTAGTGGCAGGTATGAGACTGAAGCCCTGGTCTTTTTTGCTAATTTAATCACATTTGAATGATGTTTTAGAGCCAATGGTTCTTAAACATTTTTGTTCTCAGTACCTCTTAAACTCTTAAAAATTATTGAGGATATCTCCAAAGAGCTTTTGTTTATGTAGATTATATATTGATATTTGGCATATTATAAATAAAAATATCTTACTATTATGATGAAAAGAGTTTTCATACCTTTGATCTCCTAAAAAGGTTTTGAGGATCCTTAGGAGTCCATAAATGATACTTTGAGAGCTATAGCTCTAGACCAGTGGTGTCAAACTTAATAGAAATGTGGGTCACTAAATTGCTCATAAGGATCCATGTGGACTGTGTATTAACTTAGTTTAAAAATGCAATATTATCTATGTTTTATTGTATTTTTATTCACTTTTATAATTTTCTAATTACATTTTAATCTGATTTAGGACTCACTTGGAAGGATTATAGGCCACCTGTTTGATACCTTTGCTTTAGACTTTACTCAATGGTGTACCTGATTTCAAGTGAGGAAGTTTTGTCAGTACTCTGACAAATAATTTGTGAGATCCTTATGTTCCCTGGACCTCTGTTTCTTCTTCTATAAAATAAGGCTAAAAATAACTTAACTGCCCATCATGCAGACCTGTTGTAAGACCCATAAGAGCTTTGGAAATGTTTATGTGCCCTATAAATGACAGTTACTACTCTGAGGAAGGTGCTGCATATTTCTAATTCATTCTAACTATAAGAAAGAATACTGAGTAGCTTAACACAGGTAAGTACTTGACATAAGAATAAGGATCTTTAACTGTGTGTACGCTAATTCTAGGCCACTTCCCTGCCTCCTATTCTCTAAGAAACTTCCAAGATTATTATTTAAAATTTATGTTACAGAACCTCATCTGAGCCCTAACTGCTGCTAGGCAATCCTACTAATATCCCTTATCAACCCACTCTCCTTAATATCTCTTCCAATCTTTTTATCCCTCATCAAACCTCCCATGATTCCTCTTTCCCCCCAATTCTTTCAGCTGAGAACCTTGACTCATATTTTACAGGAAAAAATTGAGGCCAATCACTATGAACTCCTTCTTTTCCCCTCTTCTTCACCTCCTGTCACATTCAGATGTCTTCTGCCACTTTCTCTTCCTTCACCTCTGTCTCACATGATGGAGTGGCCTTACTTCTTATGTACTTGTTCAAGTAATCCCCTTCCTGCCCATCTTCAACACATTGACTTACCTGTTGTCCCTATTCTTTCACTAATTTTCAATCTCTCCCTGTCTACTGGTTAATTTCCTATTGCCTATAAACATGATAATGCCATCCCCATCCTGAAAAAAAACCCTCACTTGATCATTCCATCCCTTATAACTCTCTTTCTTTATTTATTCTAAACTCTTAGACAAGTCCATCTATAGTAGGTGCTTCCAGTTTCCCTCATCTCAATCTTACAGTCTAGCTTCTAACCTTTTCATTGCAACAAAATGGTTCTCTCCAAAGTTAGAGATCATCTCTTAGGCCAAATACAATGGCCTTTTCTCAGTTCTCATTCTCCTTGACCTCTCTAGAGGCTCTGACACTGCTGATCGCTCCTCCTTGACATTTTCTTCTCTTGAAGTCTCTCTCTCTCTCTCTCTCTCTCTCTCTCTCTCTCTCTCTCTCTCTCTCTCTCTCTCTCTCTCTCTCTTCCCTTCTCTTCTCTTCCTTCTCTTCTCTTCTCTTCTCTTCTCTTCTCTTCTCTTCTCTTCTCTTCTCTTCTCTTCTCTTCTCTTCTCTTCTCTTCTCTTCTCTTCTCTTCTCTTCTCTTCTCTTCCTACCTATCTGACCACACCTTTTATGTCTCCTTTGCTGAGTCCTCTTCCAGATTACTTTATCTAACCACAGATGTCCCACAGGGTTCTATCCTGTGCCCTTTTCTCTTCTCTCTATTCTACTTCACTTACTGATCTCATCAATAGATTTAATTACCGTCTTTATGATGATGATTCTTAAATCTACTTATCCTACCCCCAAATCTCTAATCTTTCATCTCCAACTGTCTCTCAGAAATCTCAAAATATATTTCCAATAAATATCTTAAACTCAATGTGTCCAAAATATAATTCATTATCTTTCCCCCAAAGCTCTCCCTTCCTATCATTGTAGAGGGCAATACCATTCCCCCAGTCCTTTAGGCTTGCAGCCTAGAATTCAACCTCAATTCCTCACTAACTCTCCATATCCTTCATATCCATACTGTTACCAAGGCCTATTGCTTTCGCCTTTTCAGAATCTCTCAGATATGCTCCTCTTTTCCTCTGAAATTGTCATATCTGTTGCAGGCTCTCATCACCTCACACCTTGATCATTCCAACAGTCTGCAGGTAGGTCTGCCTTCCTCAAGTCCCTCCCCACTTCAATATATCCTCCATTCAGCCACTGGAGTGATTTGCTTAAAGACTAAAAATGAAAATAAGGGAAATGCTCACTACTCAAACATTAATAGGGAGCTAGCTAGCTGTAGTATTGAGGTTAATGCAGGAAAAATACAAACACAACAATAGAGGTTTTAAGGAAAAAACAGTTAAAAATACAACCTTTTCAACTTTATGAGGGAAATCCTGTTACATATGAAAGTAAATGAAAGTTAGAGAGCAATAGAAATTACGAGCAAAACAATTTGATGGAAAACCCCACCACATGAGAATTTTCCATGTTCCAAACCCTAGACTTGAGAGGACATCAGTTCTTGATTTGACAGGAAGGACATCAGTTCTTTTTACTAGGAAAAAAATGTCTAAACCTGATTTCTAAAGAGGAAGAAAGAATTCAGTCAGTAGTTTCCAGTATTACCTGAAATCTGAGCCTATTCTCTTTCCATTTTCTGGCTCTCCAGGATCTGGGCATAAGTTCGATGCTGTTTTAATACCTCCCTCATTTACTGCAAAACAGAAAGAGGAAACAAAAGAAAACGTACAAGATTAGGAAATCAAGAGAGACAACAGTTTAGAAATTCATAGGGGGGAACTACTTCTATACTTTATTAGAACAAGGCAATACAATATGAATTGAATCTATTCATTAGATTTCATTATTATAGCTTACACAATTACGTTTTTCCTAGTGATAACCAATAAAGCAAAAAGAAAAAAAGAATCTTAGTTTATGTTTTCTAAATTGTTTCTATTTTGATAAGGCCAATTGAATCATGGTACAGATGGCCATGTGAGCAGATTATACTTTGTAAAATCTTTACCAAATGGAAAAATCACTTGAACCGTCTTTTTCAAGTACAAATTCAGTTTGCATTTAACAGTGGCAACAAAGAGGAATGTCATCACCACCTTGTTTGAAACTTTAAAATGAGCTACACTACCTTTATCATTGCGAGGTAAGCTGCACAAGATAATAATGAGCATAAAGTACAGCATTTAAGTTCTTATGATTTATTTTATTCAGTATAGCACCAAAGCAAATCATCTGATTTGTCAATGTAAGTGATAAAGCAATGATTCAAATTAACATGAGAATTACATGAATTATGAGGTAAAGGTGGAAATGCAGAGCACAAGAGATCACAGAGATGGTATAGAATAGTAGAAAGATCCCTGGGTTTGGAGCCATATTACATGTAGTCTATTCTGGCCTTTGCCACTAGGTAACTGTATGATTTTGAGAAAAGGCATCAAACATCTCTGGGTTTCAATTTCCTTACCTGTAGAAAAACAAACAAAAAACAAACCAAAGAAATCAAGGAGTATGATCTCTATTGCCCCTTCCAGCTCTGAATTTCAGCCATAGGTTGCCTATGTGGGAGTTCTCTCCCCTGACTGTAACTCACTTTTTCTTCATACCCATGCATTTCAGCCTTACTCTTCCTAAAGCCCTACCCTGTACTCCCTTACCTTTCCATTGTGCTCTCTGTAAGCTTATTCTATTTTTTTGAATTGTCCTTAATATTAGATCTTTTCTTCTCACAGTCCTTCTAGCTTCTAGCAATAATGTATAGCTAAGTA